TTTGATCGTCGAAGGGGTGGTGGCCAAGATGACACTGAGCAAGATCGATCTTCATCTGTGCTGTCATCACGCGTCCTCATCTGCTACCATTGCGGGAAAATCGAGGGGTATATCGGTAATTGGCGGGAGGAGGGCGTGAAAATCGAGGGATATATCGGTAATTGGCGGGAGAAGGAGGGCGGGAAAAGCGATGGATTTGGCGGACGATTCGTCAGGTGAGAGCTTCGGTAAGACACGTGGCTGGGAGTCTCAGAAGGACAATCAATCAACGATTACTTGCTACCAATCAATGATCACTTGCAACCATCATGATGACAGGTCGTCTAATTACACCGCCACGTCAGCGATGGCCTTGATGAGTGACTATCTCCCGCCCTCACCCGCGTCCTTGTCATCAACTCCATCTCTGAACTGTCTGAAGCTTCCCTTCCTCTTCCAGCTCGCGGCACCCTTGTGGAATGCGGAAGAGAGGAGGATCCTGCTGGAGGACAATAATAATTCTATACTTAACTTCTCATCTTCTTCTTCTTCTTCGTCGTCGTCTTCGTCGTCTTCGTCGTCTTCGTCGTCTTCGTCGTCTTTGTCGTCTTCGTCGTGGACATGGCAATGGCCCTCCCCGTGTCTACCATCATCATCATCGCCAGCACTGTCATCTTCGTTTTCTTTGCCTTCTTCTTCTTCGTCTTCTTCTTCAGCATCACATTCAGTGTCCGTTAAGCCGTCCGTCAGCACCCCACCGTTAAGAATACTGTCCTCACCGTTAAGAACCCTGTCGTCATCGCCGTTAAGAGAACTCCCGTCGTCCATTGAAAATTCCAAGATCCGCTCTTCCGATCATGAACCTGGGTCATCGTCATCATTCTCATCTTCTTGCTGTCCTTCTTCTTCTTCTTTTTCTTCTTCTTCGCCATCGCTGTTGTGCCTCTCATCGTCATCATCTTCTTGCTTTCCTTCTTCTTCTTCTTCTTCTTCTTCTTCGCCATCGCTGTTGTGCCTCTCATCGTCATCAACCGGTCCACCTCCTTGCCCGGGTAAGGAGTACATTCCGTCGTCTTCTTCTTCTTCGTTTCGGTCTTCTTCATCGCTGTCGTTTATCTCATTATCATCTAGCGGTCCATCTGCGAAGAGCCCGGCTAATGAGTACAGGCCGGCAATCAACAGTGCCACGTGTCAGCATTATAGTGTAATATCCGATTTTCCGCTGGATGTGATATCCGAAGTGGTGGGAAGATTGCCTTCAGCCGTCGACGTGGGTCGCGTAGCAACTGTCTGCTCGTCGTTCGCTGCTGCAGCCAGATCAGATGTCACCTGGCACCGCCTCCTGTCCTGCGGATCGGTCAATCTTTCGTATTGGACCCCTTGTAGGGGCTGGTTTAGTGCCAATCCCGCCTCTCTGTTACGTGATTACCACCATGAAGATGGAAGGGAGGGACCGGAGGGCAACAGGGGGAGTTGCTGGGGGGAGGGGGAGGGGGAGGGGGGGTGGGTTCAATCTACAAGCAGCGGAGAGAGCTGGGGGAAAAAAGCCAACAATGAAGGCCACAACAGGGGGGGGAGAGCGGGTGGGACTCCCCCTACCGGTAGTATTGGAGAGACCTGGAGGGATCGGTATCGCAGACTGACGGAGGGGTTGTTTGACCTTGAGCAGCCATTCATCCACTACAAGTTGGACAAGACGACCGGCGCCATATCCACGAGCTTCTCAGCTTTGGCTATGGCGGTCGAGTTTCTCGGTCATTGTAGTAGTCGCCGCGGGGAGCTGAGTCCCGTCTGTACGCATTTGCCAGCGGCCGAGGACAGCATCTTCAAGCAGGCCAAGCACCTTCGATGGGTCGGAGGAGTCGCCGCTCTGAGTCTGAGTGGGAGCGTGACCTGCCGTATGCCCCCTGGCAGGTACTTGTGCATCTGGAGGGTGTCGTTCAGAGACTGCCGCGGCCGAGGCGACTGTCACCACGTCCGTCAGTTGGTCGCATTGCCCGAGCCTCGATTGCACAGCTGGGTTAAGGTCGGGCAGCGACCGGTCGTCAAACGAAGGCTGCAGACCGGAGGCCGAGGTCGCTGCGGATTGCCTGGTCGGTCGCCGACCGCGACGTGGTCGGAACTGAGAGCGGGAGTCATCCACATCCGAGCTGGCGCGCCTCCTCCCGATCCCAATCGCGCTGGCGGCGACAGTGAGCACGCACCAGACGTTGACACGTGGATGCACACCAGCGTTCGCTTCGGGTTAGTGTCACATGAGGGCGGCCTAGTTGTGGACAGCTTCGTGCTTCGCTCTCTCTCGAAAGAGTACGATGACGACGACGACGACGACGAAGAAGAAGAAGAAGAAGAAGAAGAAGAAGACGACGAAGAAGAAGAAGTAGAGGAGGAGGAGGAGGAGGAGGAGGGAAGCGAAAGATAACGAGAATAGCCAAGGAGAAGAGGAGGAGGAAGACGAAGGAGAGGAGGGTGAGGGAGGAGGGGTGACCTGATGTAAATGAATGGGAGAGGAGGACAAAGGAGAGAACGAGAGGAAAAGGAGAGTGACAGTGCGGGAATGAAAGACGAGGAAGACGAGGACGAGGAGGACGAAGGAGAGGAAGAGGAGGAGGAAGAGGAGGAGGAGGAGGAAGAGGAGGAGGAGGAGGAGCTTGACGGAAGCGGACGGGGAGAAGGACAGTCATGAAGGAGACGACAACCAGGTGGAAGAGCGAGGAGAGGAGGAGGAGGAGGAGAAGGAGGAGGAGGAGGAGGAGGAAGAGGAGGAAGAGTCTATTCGCCTGTCGAGCTTTGCGTCGTGGTCGGGATCCGGTCACTTCGTCCGTCTTGCTCCGAAGAAGGGAAGCAGCAATGGGATTGAAACGACGTTCTTAGACAGAAGATGAACAGTGGGAGATTGTGGTGTTGGCGTGGTCTCGGGTAAAGGGAGGGAGAAAAGGAGGAAGAGGAGGTGGTTCTTCCTGCTCCTCCAACCCTCTTTATTTCCGGCGGGAAGACCCTCCTCCGCTTGCGTGGTTCAGTTTGAAAACTCTCCTCAGAGAGAGAGAGAGAGAGAGAGAGAGAGAGAGAGAGAGAGAGAGAGAGAGAGAGAGAGACGCTCGGGTGAGATTGGCTGAGCTGTCGTTAGCTTGGCCTTGAGACTCCTGTTCCGACAGAAGTGAGGAGAAGACGGGGAGGAGGAGGAGGAGCAGGAGGAGGAAGAAGAGGAAAAAGAGGATCGTCGTTGAGGAGGGGGAGGAGGAGGAGGAGGAGGAAGAAGAAGAAGAAAGGAATGTGAGGATAGTGCTACCATACACAGTTAGATCGAGGAGGAGCAAGAGGAGATCAAGGAGGAGGAGAGGAGGAGGAGGAGATCAAGGAGGTGGAGGAGGAGAAGGAGGGAAAGTAAAGTTGATAAATAGCATCCGAGAACTGGATTTGTAATTGGGATAGAGAGAGGACAAGGGATGCAGCTACCCCTATCGTTATTCATGAGAGTGCTATTCATGGGAGTTGGGGGGGAAAGGGTCCCTTCTTGGTAGTGGTAGTAATCGAGATACCGCCCGTTGATTCCGTGCCTAGATGCGGTCGGTCTTTTTTTTCTTTTTTCTAGGGGTCTTTTTTTTTTAGGAGTCTCTGTTGCTTAACAGTTCCATTTGTGTACCGTACAGTCGAGCGGGTGGCTTGTCCTTTTTTTTTTTTTTTTTTTTGACCTCAGTGTCACTCGAATTTCGTCACTGTGTGTACTAGACCTTTGATTCGTCGATTTGCTGAGGAAAAACTCACACTAGGACATTTCTGCATCTGACCATACTTATTTATCAGATTCATTCAGGACTGTCCTACTGTGAGTCTGCCTCCAGTGTTTAACTTTCACTCCTTCGTTTGAGGGCAGCAGGTTTTTTGTTTCGCTTTGTTTACACGTCATTTAGACGAATGGAGTCACCCTTTTTGTCTATGTACATGATTTTTCTCGTCCCGGTTCGACGAACGCAGTCGCTCTTTGTGTCTGTGTACATTAGATTCTCGACCCGGTTCAGAGTTTGCAGCAATTCGACGACGATTGCACTATTCGACCACGGTTTCGCAATTTTACGATGATGTCAACACTCGCTCTCAAGACCCAAACGAGCTACCGCACTTTTTATTACAGTACTACCGTAGCGGTTC